TCACAAGTCTAACAAACTAATAATAGTTCATAATTTAAAATATGATCCAAAGTCTAAATGAGCTCACTGCCAATGTGCAAAGTATTAAAAATTAAATGTTTAACAATCCATAAATTCACTAATATGTGATGAAGCAATCTACTACATAGCCTACACTAACTCACTAAGCAGTAAGTAATTTATTTAATTATTTAGAAGTTATACAGTAAACAACTACTGAGTCACTAACTACTAACTAAGTGGTTATGGGAATTAGATTATTTTCTATATCAATGTGTGTTCACTGTGTTGGGCACTTTCAGTTTGGGCTTAGGGGCTAAAATCAAACTAATATATTTATATAAATGAGTATTAGAGCTTATAAGGTATTAATATGTATGGGCTTGACCTCGGTTTTTTGGTCGGTTTTATTTTTTTCGGCCCAAAACCGATAACCGACCGAAAAACCGAAATGACCGAATTTTTTTTAAGGTCATACCGATAACCGACCGAAAGCCAAAAATTTCGGTCGGTTCGGTTATCGGTCGTCGGTTTTTCGGTCGGTCTTCATTTTTTGCTCACCCCTAGCTGGAACTGGTGTTGGAGCTTGAGCAGGACATGGTATTGGAGCTTGACCTTTAGCTTGAGCTGGAGCTGGTGTTGGAGCTTGAGCTTGAGCTTGAGATGGAGCTAGAGCTGAAACTTGACCTTGAGCTTGAACTGGAGCTGGAGCCTGAGCTGGTGTTGGAGCTTGAGCTTGAGTTTGAGCTGTAGCTTGAGCTGGATCTAGTGTTGGAGCTTGAGGTTGAGCAGGATCTGGAGCTGGAGCTTGAGCTTGAGGTTGAGCAGGATCTGGAGCTGGAGCTTGAGCTTGAGCTGGGGCTGGAGCTGGAGCTTGTGCTTGAACTGGAGCTTGAGCTTGAGCTGGATCTTGAGCTTGAGCTGGAACTTGAACTTGAGCTTGAGCTTGAGCTGGAACTTGAGCTTGACCTTGAGTTTGACCTTGACCTTGAGCTGGAGTTGGAGCTGGAGATGGAGATGGAGCTGGAGCTAGAGCTAGAGCTAGAGCTAGAGCTTGAGCTTGAGCTTGAGCTTGAGCTTGAGCTTGAGCTTGAGCTTAAGCTTGAGATTGAGCTTGAGTTGGAGCTTGAGCTGGAACTTGACCTTGAGTTTGAGCTTGAGCTTGAGCTAGGGTAGTAGCTTGAGTTGAGCTTGAGCTTGAGCTGGAACATGAGCTTGAGCTTGAGCTGGAGTAGGAGCTGGAGCTTGAGGTTGAGCTTGAGGTTGAGCTTGAGCTGGAGCTTGAGCTTGAGCTTTAGCTGAAGCTGGAGCTTGAGCTGGAACTACTGTTGGAGCTTGAGTAGGACATGGTTTTGGAGCTTGACCATTAGCTTGAGCTGGAGCTGGTGTTGGAGCTTGAGCATGAGCTTGAGATGGAGCTGGAGCTAGAACTTGACCTTGAGCTTGAGTTGGTGTTGGAACTTGAGCTTGAGTTTGAGCTGGAGCTTGAGCTTGAGCTTGAGCTTGAGGTGGATCTGGTGTTGGAGCTTGAGCTTGAGCTTGAGCTGGATCTGGAGCTGGAGCTGGTGTTAAATCTTGAGCTTGAGCTTGAGCTGGAGCTTGTGCTTGAACTGGAGCTTGAGCTTGAGCTGGAACTTGAACTTGAGCTTGAGCTTGAGCTTGAGCTTGAGTTGGTAATAGAGCTTGACCTTGAGCTTGAGCTTGGCCTTGAGCTTGAGCTAGAGCTGGAGCTAGAGCTAGAGCTAGAGCTGGAGCTGGAGCTAGGGCTAGAGCTTGAGCTTCAGATTGAGCTTGAGCTGGAGCTTGAGATGGAGCTTGAGCTGGAGCTGGAGCTGGAACTTGACCTTGAGTTTGAGCTTGAGCATGTGCTTGAGCTTGTGTAGGAGCTTGAGCTTGAGCGGGAACATGAGCTTGAGTTAGAGCTGGAGCTGGAGCTTGAGATTGAGCTTGAGCTGGAGCTTGAGCTTGAGCTTGAGCTTGAGCTTGAGCTTGAGCTTGAACTTGAGCTTGAGCTTGAGCTGGAGCTTGAACTTGAGCTTGAGATTGAGATTGAGCTTGAGTTTGACCTTGAGCTGATGTTGGAGCTTGAGCTGGAGCTGGAGCTAGAGTTAGAGCTAGAGCTTGAGCTTTAGCTGGAGATTTCACTTGAGCTTGAGCTTGAACTTGAGCTGGAACTGGTGTTAGAGCTTGAGTAGGACATGGTTTTAGAGCTTGACCTTTAGCTTGAGCTGGTGTTGGAGCTTGAGCTTGAGCTTGAGATGGAGCAGGAGCTGGAACTGGAGCTGGAACTTGACCTTGAGCTTGAGTTGGAGCTTTAGCCTGAGTTGGTGTTGGAGCTTGAGCTTGAGTTTGAGCTGGAAGCTGGAGCTGGAGCTTGAGCTAGAGCTAGATCTGGTGTTGGAGCTTGAGCTTGATCTTGAGCTGGAGATTGAGCTTAAGCTGGTGTTAAAGCTTGAGCTTGAGCTTGAGCTGGGGCTTGAGCTGGAGCTTGAGTTGGAGCTGGAGCTGGAGCTTGAGCTTGAGCTTGCGCTTAAGCTGGAGCTTTAACTTGACCCTAATCTGGAGCAGGGGCTTGAGATTGAGCTTGAGCTTGAACTGATGTTGGAGCTGGAGCTGGAGCTTAAGCTTAAGCTGGTGTTTGAGCTTGAGCTTAAGCTTAAGCTGGGGCTGTAGCAGGAGTTTGAGCTTGAGCTGGAGGTGGAGCTTGATCTTGAGCTGGAGCTTGTGCTTGAGCTGGAGCTTGAGCATGAGTATGAGCTGGAGCTTGAGCTGGAACTTGAGCTTGAGCTTTACCTTGAGCTTTACCTTGAGCTTGAGCTTGTGCTGGTGTTGGATCTTGAGCTTGAGCTGGAGCTGGAGGCTGAGCCAGAGCTTGAGCTGTAACATGAGCTTGAGCTTGAGCTTGACCTAGAGCTGGAGCTGGAGCTTGAGCTTGACCTAGAGCTGGAGCTTGAGCAGGAGCTGGAGCTTGAGCTTGAGCTGGAATTTGTGCTGAGAGGTTGGTGACAGAGGCAGTTACTGAGCTGGGGAGCTTTCTGGAAGACTGCAGCAGCATTCAAGACTTTAAAAGTGGAAGATGCTGCTTTGGGGATGTTGATCTCATGCTTGGGAAAGGATTCCACTTGGATGCTTGATAATGATACTGACCTGTGGGCTGTGATCCACAGGGATGAGGCTGTTGGAAATTGATTGCAGCAGGAATATCATAGATGGAGCTTAGGCTGATCTCTTGATATAATTGAAGGATGATTGGAGGGGATATGGCCCCTAGAAAAGTGGTAGTATAAGGCCACTCTAACCTAGATTTGTGACTGATCTGCACTATTGCTTAGTTACAGAAATGAAGTCTTGTATGTTATTTACTTGACTTGCATGTGGCTTATGTTTCTGTGATTGAAGCTCAGCTGTGCAAAGGGAGACTTGGTTCCCCTATTACTGAGATTGAGCTGCATGAACCTTTGTCTGCTAATGAGGTGGGACTGCCTATTTGATTGCATCCACTTGGTCTGGTGGGGTGGGTAAATAGGGGATTGGTTTTGGTTGGAGGAAACAATTCTGAAATTTTGAAAAAAAAATAAAAAATGAATGCATAAGCATGTTGAAAAAAGAAAAAAAGAGAAGAATTGAAAAATGAAATGGTTTGATGATGTGTGTTAATGGTAAGATGTGAACAGAAGGAGGTATGTTGGTGTGAGGGTGGGTGAGGGATGCCATTGCTCAGTTAAGAGTACTATCCTTTGACCGCGATGCTCAATCTTTAGTAGGAGGGGGACTCCTTGGATGCCTTGTGCACGGCTGAGGTGCACCCACGAATGCATAAGGCACTTGGTGCCATTTTAATAGCTTAGTTGTTTGATTTGGAGTTAGTTTGCGGAATCACTTTTGGGCTCTTTGTATAGACTTTTGAAAGTTTTATTAATAAATGTACAATTTCCAATATATATATATATATATATATATATATATATATATATATATATATATATATATATATATATATATATATATATATTTGAAATTTAGTGTGTTCGTTAATTTGTTGATGATATAATTTATAATAACAGATAGAAATAAAATTATGGTAATATAAAAATAATAAAAATATTTAATATGATTTTAGATTTTCCTACCAACAGTAGGAAGGAAATTTATAACATTCCGTACTTGATATTTCCATCCAATAGTTCGTCTAAATTTCCATCCAACAATTGGAAGGAAAACACAAAAATATGATATGCTCATTTTCCGTCCAAACGTTGGTCAGAATTTTCAACCAACACAAAAAGTTGGACGAAAATTCCCACGTTTTAAAATGGTGGGATTCTATCCGAAATTTCCGTCCAATTTTTGTTCGTTGGACGCTATTTCTGACGAAAAACGGTAGTTGGATGGAATTTTCCACAATGATTTTTCCGAACGTTCGTTTCGGTCGGTATGTTGAACGGAAAGGTCGTTTCCGACCTATGTATCGCGTTTTCCGTCCAACAAACGTTGGACGGAAAGCACGAGATTTCCAGCCGTGTAAATAAACAAATTCAACATTTATTTACCTATGCATAAACATCTCCTAAACAAATTCAACATTTATTTACCTATGCATAAACATCTCCTATATAATATCACATTGATATACTTTGAAATTCGCGCTTTATCTCCTATATAATATCACATTGATATACTTTGAAACTATGCATAAACATCTCCTATATAATATCGCATTGATATACATTGAAATTCGCACAAAGCGCGTAAAAAAATAGTTAAAAGAATAAGACTAAATGTGACAATACCACAATAGTCAAGGGCTAAAAGTGAAATTTGCTCCTTCACAAAATAATAAAACAAAGCCATGGGAACAAGGTTTTATAAAACTTGTAATATAATATTAGTTTCAACTAAAAAAAAAAAAAAAAAAAAAAAAAAACCAAAAAAAAAACCCTAACCATAAAATTATCAATCAAGTACAACCCAATACGTATGATAAGTTACCAATAGTTTAGCTACTGAATGATGGACACATTCTTGATATGTGCTTCAACAATAATGCAATCATTAACTATGAAGCCATTAGATAAATCTCGGAGATCCGCCAGCGGCATAAACGATTCCCAACCCCAACTTAAAGATTCAGAAGAATAGCAACAACAAACTACAAAATAAAGCAAGAACAAACAAAACATTAAAGTTCACCAAAAAATTCAAATGGCACACATACTTATATAAATAAACTTCAGTACTTCACTTACATTGCCCCACTTGATGCTTCCCATATTTCTGATTCCTTATAAATAACATAAAATATACAAGCAGTGCGTTGGGGGTAGCTCCTGGATCAACAAGCGTCAAATACAAACCAAGGTTTAACCCGTCGGGACGCTTACTCCCTACTCCAAGAGGATAGAGTGTCACTTTCCTACGAAAAATTGTTGAAAGATTCAAGAACAAAATGTGAAATCTAAAAATTACTATAATTACAAAACAACAATCTTGAACTCTAAACAAAAATGACCTACCATTTGAAGGAAGCTGCAGTAAATTCATCGGAATAACAAACTTTGTTCATATTACTGAAACCTGATACCTTCCAAGTGTAGGTTTCGCCAACTTTCACTAAAGGACTCAAACGTTGTTCGACAAATTTAGAATGTATCACAAAAACTTCAACACCAAAAACACATGTGTCATCAACAAGATACCCATTTGCAGCATCATCAAACTCACAGCGAGGGACAAATTTCGAAATACCACATTCTTGTTTCAAATAATGAAACTTGTTTACTTTATCTCCTAAATAACAAAAAGAACAATATTACAATATTAGCAATATTAATAACTCTCTGGAACGCAATCCAACTTACTAGAAACGCACAAAAGCAACCTTGAAAAACCGTATATTTGTCATGTTTCTTATCAAATAAAAAAAATTTCAAATCTGTATATATCTCCCAACCCAAAGGCAATGCACTTGTGTTTTGAATACACAAAAACACAGAAATGTGCCCTTTATTAAGGCCAACACCATTGGGATACATAGAGAATTCCCTGCCACCACATAGCAACTCACATCAGCAATGAATTAAATTAAAGATTATTATTATTTACAACTACAAATTAAACTTGACTGCTAATTTAAGCCAACTACAAACACTAGTAGGAAATTATATATTCTCAACCATTGGTAACCACTAGCTTCAAAAACTTTGGACGTGAAACATTGGATTCCCCCCTCGGACAGCATCTTGGTAAGTTTGTAGAATGATTCAATCCTCAGTCTAAAATGTGAGGGTGCTATGTCTCTTTCCCACCTCACTGCATCTGCAAAAACAAAAGGTATCAATAAGTAGCTTAGTTTCAACATTGTATACACAAAGTATGATACAAAATAGAGCAAAAACTTGGGATGTTTTTGACATTATTGAACAAGTGACTCCTGCATCGCATAATTAAACATAAAAGACTGCTAATATATTTGAGTAAAATGAGCAAAAAACCAGAAGAGGAATGTCGTCCTTCACTAGAGATGTTGTTTCCCATTATTGCTCTTCCAACTTGAATTGGGTCCCAAGAAACAAGAAATCACTGTCTAAACCCAATTATGCTATAGCCCTAGGGGGTTTATAAAGTGAATAGGGTGATTGGAACTTGAGTTCTGATTCATTCAAATTAATTGTACCTAGTGACTGATACCAGATTAGAACATCATTCAATTACATGAATAGATATACATACTATAGAGTTATAGAAAAACTAGAAGTGTATTTAACATAAGATAAGAGTCCTAACAAGGGTGACCGTTGCTTTTATTGCGGCCACAAGAATGACCATTCAAATATTTAGAATTAGTTTGGTTAATTAATTACTCCCTCCGTCCCGAATTGGTTGTCTCATTTGCTTTTTGCACGTTTTTTAAGGAATTAAAGTAAATGCTATGTATTTTCCAATTATGCCCTTCACTTTTTCACTTTTGGAAATAAAAGTAAAAGTCATAAGGGTAATTTGAGAAAAAGTAGAATGATGGTGATGTTCAATTTTAGAAAGAGGACAACATTTTGGGACAAACTAAAAAGGAAAGTAAGACATGCAAAATGGGACATAGGGAGTATTATTTTAGAATTATTTTATATTTAGTTTGTTAGGATTATTTGTTTGATGGTTAGAATTAGTCTATCTTGCTCGCACGGGTTTAGCTCAATGGTTCAATAGACAGTATTTGAAAAAAAAGATCAAGGTTCAAATCTCGGCGGCGGCAATGTGAGAATGAGGATTGTGTGCACCGGCATTTGGCCCTATCTGTTGTTGCGGCTTAATTTGATTTTGAACAACTTTTGTTAACCCAAATTTTGAACAGACCTCGACTTGATTCCCTTTTTTTTTTTTTTTTTTTAAGTTGTTATTTTATTTTGTAAATTACTATATTAAAATTTATTTTAATTTTTTAAATTTTATTAATTTTTGGTATATGTAGTATTTAGAAAATTTATGTTAAGTTTAGTATTAGTATATAAAATTTATATATTTAGAAACTACATTAAAATACTATAAAACACAAACATAATTAAAAAATACTAAAAAATAAGCATAGAATAAGTAGTTGGTTTGTCTAATGAATAGTAAACAACTTAACATGAAAATTAAAATGGGACATAATAAGTATATATAAGAGTGTATTTATAAATATTTTGTTTAAATATGTATAAATATTAATTATTTACTAATTTTTCACAAAAATGTTTTTTTTTTTTTTTTTAATAAAAATTAGGCAAATGACTGAAACGTGGAAAGAAAAGATGCTCCTTTCTGTAAATTTGTTGAAAGGAAATTTTTTTATAAAACTTGAAAACGCTAGTCATTGAGATTTTTCATGCAACATAAGTGATGTCAAATGTGCCAAATTATATTGAAACGAGTCTAGAACCATATGGATGGAATTCTCAATCGAACACTTTAGTGAAACCAAATTTAAACTTTGGTGGCAATTATAACAAAAATTATATATTAAAAAAATTAAATCTCTGTAGTTTATAATAATTATATATTATATTAACCAAAAAAAATTAATTTTATTAATGAAATATTAATATTAGATGAATAGGTGGCAATAATATTTTTCTGAAACTAAAAAGACAAATAGACAAGAAAAAACACAAAATAAACCTTCCTCCGCCAAGAAACACCCAATTCTCCACGAACAGGTAATATTGATTTTTCAATTATATAAACAAGATAACTTTGAATTGATACATTACACTATTTTTAAAAATGATATCTTGTAATTTTTAAAGTACTTTGTGTAATAATTCAAGAAAATAGAGCAAGATAGAAATCTTTATATGATAAAAAATTATAGAGTACCTATAATAATAGGAATGGACGGAAAGTTGTACGAAATTTCCTCCAACACTCGCACGTTAGACATCGGTTCCGACCGACACTAAATGTTGGACGGAAGTTCCGGCCAACCGTCACGCGTTGGACAGAAAACTGAATTAACCGGTAGGTGAAATGCAAAATGGTATGTATTTATTAAATATAGTCCAACATTGTTGTTGGGCGGAAATTGAAATATTTAAGTTTCAATTCGCGTATTTTAGCTCATTTTCTTCAACTTGGGAGGTAAGAATGCTCATTTAATATATCATACTTAAATTTAGAGTTATTTTGACGGTTCGAAATTTCACAAAATTTCATTCAAAACGTTACCCTGCTCCTATTGTCATTCCTCGTCACAAACTCTTCTCAGCTCACACCTCAAACTCATCTTCTTAGCTCCATTGTCTCAACCTTCTCGGCCATTCACTCTCCCGCCGCACGTCGTCTAGACGTCTTAGCCTCCCCGTCGCCATCACTCATCCACCAAAGTCGTCTCTTCCCGCCTCCGCCACCGTCGAGACATGGGATCCTCTTCCCATCGTTGTCGCCTCTATCACCATCGAGTCAGTGCCGTTGCTAATCGCCGTGTCCATTACCATCCTATAGGTTAGTCCTCAAATCTTAAACCCTAATCTTTAATTTTCTAATTCTATTTATCTCATAATTTCATTAAGGCCTTAATCCCTATGTTTTTCTTATTCTAATTTTATTATTGGATTTTCCATATTTGAAAGTTGTGAATGTTAGGTTGATGATATTTATGAGTTAAAGAAGAAAAAGTGTGAGATTATTTTAGTTATGGGTGTTGGTGTTAATTCATCTAATTTTGTGTTATGGTGGTTTGGTTGTGATCCTGTTTCTGAAAAATTAATGCATATTTACAATTGACTTTGGTAGTGTGAGAAAGGAAATCATGTGTTGATCGAAGATGAGCATCTAATTTTGTTCTATGTTGGAGGATAAAATATCTAGAAGGGTAGTATTGTAATCTTCATATTGTTTCCCTTTTACTTTCCTTTTATTTCTACTTTTACTTTCCTTTTATTTCTATTTCTTTTTCCCTTATATAAACTCCAGCAGTGTATCTTTTCTAACCAACATCAATAATATCATCTTCCTTCATCTTCTGCACTTCTTCTTCACTCCATCTCTGCCTCTTGTTTTCTCTCTGTTTTTTCATCAATGTAGTTCTATATTCCAACATGGTATCAGAGCGGCGGGAGCTCATCCACGCTGCTGCATTTTCCGGTGCCGATGAAGTGAAGCGACGCCGTGCAATCCTAGTTCATCCGCAGAGGATGACTTCAATTCATCCGCAGAGGATGATTTCAATTCTTCCGCAGAGGAAGCCAAACAATCCAATTGCTACGCAGAGTAGTCGATCAATTCCGCAGAGGATTCCGAATTTGGAGCAATCAGCCGCAGCGGTTGGAGCCATAGCCGTAGTCGTTCCGCAGTGGAAGGGAGGAGCTCCGTCGATTCCGATCAATTCGCAGAGGATTCCGATCAGTCCGGACGGCAATTTGGCCAATGTGTTTGATTCGCGCAGTGCGATTTTCAAGGACCGTAGTTTGAGCTTTCCTAAGAAGAATCAGTTGGGCTGGTGCAGGAATCAGTTGAGATCCGAGTTGTTAGTCGGATTTTTAGTCCAGTTACCCATCGGACAAGCCGAGAAGCAGAGTCGACTCAGTCTCCGTTTTAAGCAGTATTATTTTGAGAATAGGAAGTTCCGATTGTTTTTTGATTTCCAGAATGTTCTGTCCTTTTATTGCGGGAGAATCCGCAAATTGTTTAGCAAATCGAAGAAGAGGGTGAGTTATCACCAAATGGTGAAAATGGTGGAGATGCTGATGATAAGGATAGCGATAATGCATCTGTGGTTGGTGATGATGTTTCTGGCAGTGAATCTGCTGCAGAGTCTCAAATCTGGTAATCCTTCTAATCTAGCATCTACGTCTTTTGGTAAGGCTATTGAGGGGATTAGACATGCTGATTGTGTTGAGATTAGTGAACAATCGCTACATACACCAACTGTTTGTAGAAATGCATTAGTGAGCCTGAATCCCAGGAATGCTGGGTTGGACACTAAAAATGGTGTTGAGGAAGTATCTATCTTAATTCCTCTTCATATAGAAGGGTCAATTATCAGTGGCCTTAAAGACCTTTTCAGCGCGTATATTCGTTTTATTGAAAGAGCCCTGATCAGTGGCCCAGAGGCTGGAGAAGGTGACTCAAGAATCAATGTAGCAGAATCACTGGTACAAAACCTTTCCCTTGTTGCCAACTTGTCAACGCTGGAGCAAATTCTCTCCAACATGATCCAAAGTGTCTTCATTGGCTTCTATCACTTAAAGTTTGAAATTGATAGTTATGTTATGTTCATTCATGACACTTGTGCCCAGATAAGATCTAATTTTTTCAAGCAATTTGTTTTTAAATTCTCACCTTCTGAAGGTGAATGGGGCAACATTCCAGCCTGTTGCACTGGTGGACAGGAGGATTCAAAAATACATGACCTAGAGCCATCCATTTCATATCAGGAATTCTACCTTGAACTAAGGAGACTTAAGAAACATGCTGAAGATCATTTCTTAGATTTGGATTGGTTAACAGATATACTCAAGGAGCTGATGGAGGCTATATTCTTGTGGATTTCAAGAGAAGAAATATGGGAAATTAGTAAAGAGCCCTTGTCAGATCAAGATTGTGGCAATTTTACACAGTTGAACCTCGATCTATATTTTCTGGTGGAAATTGTTGGGATGGGGTGGATGTTTTTCCGGTAAAATTATGAAAGCATACTTGGATATTGAATGGGGTGGATGGTTTCTCGTATGGAGTCAGCCTTAGTGTCTGCTGGTTTGAGTAATTTGGTTTTGAATGGGGTGTTAAATCACAATCCCTCAGTGAGAATAACAATGCTGAATACAACACAGTTATTCCCATCCTTCTGCTGCAAATGAAAAGTTGGTGGACTCAATGAGAAGCATGGATTTGCAGTAAGCAATCCTCCTTACCTTTTGTGTTTAAGCTGGGCATGTAGGATCTACACGCTCCAGCTTACCGGGGGGTGTTGGAGGATAAAATATCTAGAAGGGTAGTATTGTAATCTTCATATTGTTTCCCTTTTACTTTCCTTTTATTTCTACTTTTACTTTCCTTTTATTTCTATTTCTTTTTCCCTTATATAAACTCCAGCAGTGTATCTTTTCTAACCAACATCAATAATATCATCTTCCTTCATCTTCTGCACTTCTTCTTCACTCCATCTCTGCCTCTTGTTTTCTCTCTGTTTTTTCATCAATGTAGTTCTATATTCCAACATTCTAGTAACAAATATCTAATGATAGTTTTTAATAGCATATTTTCACTCCATCAGTGCTATATTTTTTATCGATGACCAAAATGTCTTTGAATTTAACGAAATTTAAACGATTTTGCTAATAAATGACCAAAAATGGTCATGTCATAATAATATTAGGATAATTTTAAAAAAAAAAAAAACTAAAAGTGAAATGTCACCTATAAATCTAGAACAAAAAATTAAATCAATTCTTAAAGTATAAATAGACGACAAAGTTACTTCCGCTCAATTTTAAGTGGTGAATTAGACGCAAATCTCCAAAAACATAACATAATGCCATGTTTTTTTTTTTTTTTTTTTTTTTTGAGAAGAACAATTTAATTAGCTGTAATGCATAATGCATTTTACATCAAAATATTATATTAGAACATGCATTACATCCCAGATTCAACATGCAAACAATGAAACAAACTATATGCATTTCTGTCAAGACCTTGTGGTCTAATGACACCAAGATTGGACTCTTATATGAAGGTTCGAGCTTCAGTGTAGTGGTATTGGCTCTTTGTGCCTCATTAGGTTGAGAAAATAGTTTATAAAAAGATGCTAAAACTACATGCGTTTCAAACTAGGTCAAACCCATTTAATTTCATGACCAAAGACTTAAACGTTCCGATTCCTTGCCTTTTGTTCCCATTTGAATCAGCTACGGTAATGAATGTGTTGTGTTGTTGCGGAACAGCTTAACATGGCATACATATAGGGCCTGTTTGGTAAAATGGCTGATGGCTGATAGCTATTAGCTGATTGTGTTAATTAGAGGGTATAAATAGTTGATAACATTAGTTGATTGTAGAAAAATGTTTGGTATATTAGTTGTTAGCTTATAGCTGTTTGGTATAATTTCTTTTCTCAAAAAGTTAATTGAAAAAGTTGCTTGGAGTAGCTTTTTGAATTTTAGCCTTTTGAAGTTGCAAAAAGCTAACTAACCAAACATTTATATTGATATTTTAACTAAATCAAACAATTAATAGTGGTCAAATAAACCAAAATTGGCCTATAGGCCAATTTTTTACCAAACGAGGCCATAAACAAGATTCCCAACAAAAACGACGTAAATTAACACATCACAAAATAATAAAACAAAGCCATGCAAAACCTTGGAGAAGGTGTTATAAAACTTGTAATGTAATATTAGTTTCAACGAAAAAAAAAAAAAAAAAAACCCTAGCTAACTATAAAATTATCAACCAAGTACAACCCAATACGTATAATAAGTTACCAATAGTTTAGTTACTGAATGACGGACACATTCTTGATATGTGCTTCAATGATAAAGCAATCGTTAACCATGAAGCCATTAGATAAATCTCGAAGATCAGCCAGCGGTATAAACGAACTTACGAACCCCAGCCCCAACCAAGAAATCCAGAAGTAGAAAAACAAGAACAATCTACAAAATAAAGCAAGAACAAACAAAACATTAAAGTTCTCAAAAAAAAAAAAAAAAAATTCAAATGGCACACATATATACGTATATAAACTTCACATACATTGCTTCACTTGATGCTTCCCATATTTCCCCTGATTCCTTATAGATAACATAAAATGTACAAGCAGTGCGTTGGGGGTAGCTCCTGGATCAACAAGCGTCAAATACAAACCAAGGTTTAACCCATCGGGACGCTTACTCCCTACTCCAAGAGGATAGAGTAACACTTTCCTACAAAAAATTGTTGAAAGATTCAAGAACAATATGTGAAATCTTAAAATTACCATAATTACAAAACAACGATCTTGAACTCTATACAAAAATGACCTACCATTTGAAGGAAGCTGCAGTAAATTCATCGGAATAACAAATTTTACTCATATTACTGAAACCTGATACCTTCTAAGTGTATGTTTCACCAACTTTCACTGAAGGACTCAAACGTTGTTTGACAAATTTAGAGTGCAGCACAAAAACTTCAACACCAAAAACACATATATCATCAACAAGATACCCATTTGCAGCATCATCAAACTCACAGCGAGGGACCAAATTCGAGATACCACATTCTTGTTTCAAATAATGAAACTTGTTTACTTTATCTCCTAAATAACAAAAAGAACAATATTACAATATTAGCAATATTAATAACTCTTTGGAACTCAATCCAACTTACTAGAAACGCACAAAAGCAACCTTGGAAAACCGTATATTTGTCATGTTTCTTATCAAATAAAAAAAAATTCAAATCTGTATATATCTCCCGACCCAAAGGCAATGCACTTGTGTTTTGAATACACAAAAACACAGAAATGTGCCCTTTATTAGGGCCAACACCATTGGGATACATAGAGAATGCCCTGCCACCACAAAGCAACTCACATCAGCAATGAATTAAATTAAAGATTATTATTTACAACCACAAATTAAACTTGACTGCTAATTTAAGCCAACTACAAACACTAGTGGGAAATTATATATTCTCAACCATTGGTAACCACTAGCTTCGAAAACATTGGACTTGAAGTGACATATAGTGACTCTCCCATATTGGAAGTCATGAGATCGAGTCGCAGTGGAAATTGTGTTGACTCTTTATCCTTCAACATGTTGAGAAAGTATAGATGAACAGATACTATAATAGAGTCACATAGCATAATTAAGGTCAAAGTACCTATGAAGTCCCTGTACTATACTGTTTTGTTCAATTTAGTCCTTGTACCTTTATTCTGTTCAATTTAGTCTCTCTACTTTAAAAAGTGGGCCGGTGAAACTAAGGACAATTGTCCAAATCTCATTAGGAACATGGTTGTAATGATTTATTTTGGACATATTAATTTAATATATTGGTGGTAAAAATAATTAATTTTAAATATTTTGTTGGATCTCAGCGCTGCACTATGCCTACTTCCCAAGGGGTCACCCATCCCGGGATTGCCGGAAGTCAAGCACGCTTAACCACAGAGTTCTATGGTACCTGGTTGCCATATCCTACTTAAAACCAATTGGTGATAGGTAGGTGGACATTAACCATTTAACCACATCTCTCCATGGTAAGCCACAGCGCCACGTCCCGAATCGAGCAGGGGCTGAACTCGGCCAACCCGGCCGACGCCCAACATATTTATAAAGTAATATATGAGTAGGAATATCTATATCGTCACCACCACGTAATCTAAGTTAACGATAATATTGACACCGTTAACTATTGTCCTCAATTGCATCACTTTTGAAAGTACAAGGACTAAATTGAATAAAATAAAGGTATAAGGACTAAATTGAACAAAATGTTATAATACAGGGAGCTCGTGAGTACTTTAACCCATAATTAAACATAAAAGACTGCTAATATATTTGAGTAAAATTAGCAAAAAACCAGAAGAGGAATGTTGTCGTCCTTCTCTAGGGATGTTGTTTCCCATTGTTGCTCTTCCAACTTCAGTCCCAAGAAACAAGAAAACCACTGTCTAAACCCTGTTATGCAATAGCCCTAGGGGGTTTATAAAGTGAATAGGGTGACCATTGCTTTTATTGCGGTCACAAGAATTACCATTTAAATATTTTAGAATTCTAGAATTAGATTAATTAATTATTTTATATTGTTTGATGGTTATGATTAGTTTATTTTATTCTTAATAATTATCTTGGTTTGATTTGAACAGATTTTCAGCTTGATTTTGAAGAAATTTTGTTAATCCAAAATCTGAGCTTGATTTTGATTTTGATTTGATTTAAATTAGGATTCGAGTAATTGATTAATCACGTCACACAGTTCAGAATATATATATATATATATATATATATATATATATATATATATATATATATATATAAAAGGAAATAGTATACTTAAATATAGAGAGATATATATACATAAGGAAATAGTATACTTAAACTAGAAATACAAGAGTCTGAACAAATTTTGGTTTGATTTTCGGCTTGATTTTAATTTGATTTTGAACAGATTTTCGACTTGATTTCCTTTTTTTTTTAAAAAAAAATTGTTATTTTATTTGCAAATTACTATATTAAAATTTTTATTTTAAAAATTTTTATTTTTAGTAATTTTTGGTATATATAGTATTTAAAATTTGTTTTCAATTTTTTTTATTTCGTTATTTAAAATCAAAATTATAGTTATAAAGTTAAAATTATTTAATTATAGAAAAGTGAATAAAATAATAAATTATGTGTAAGAGTTTGAATGAGTAAAGCCTACAAAAAAAGGAGAAGGATTCGAGAAGAAAATAGAAGATGAGATTGTAAGGTGATGTGGATCAATTCTTATACATGGAATAGTCTTCACAAATTATGTACCTATGAACACAAATTATGTACATAAATCAAATTTAAAAAATAAGTAAATATATACATATGTTCATTCTGATGCAGGGTCCATAATACTATTATATAAATCTTGGAGATCAACCAGCAGTAAAAATATATACCAGCCCCAGCTTGAATATCCAGGAGCAAAGCACTTACAATCTACAAAATAAAACAAGCTAAGATTGAACAAAACACTAAAAAAATTAGCAAACAATTAGAACAAAACATTGCCTCTGTCGATGTTTTCAAGAGGAAAACTTAGTATTTATCACGCTTCTAATAACATATAAAAAAACTTTAAATCTGCATGTATCAACTAACCCAAAGGCAATGCATCTGTTTCTTGAATACTCAAAAACACGTACAAAACGTGTCCTTTACCATCTCCATTGAGTTTCTCTGAATGATGGACACATTCTTGATACATGCTTATAAAGGCATTCTTGATACATGCTTTTAATAATAAGTTGCAACTAGTTTAACTACTGAATGATGGACACATTCTTGATACATGCTTCAATGATAATGGAATCATCAACAATGAAGCCATTAGATAAATCTTGAATTTCATCTAGCGATATAAAATCACGCCGTCCAAAAATTGGGGAACCAGGAGCAAAGTAATTACAAACTACAAAATAAAACAAGATAAAACAAAACATTAAAAAGTAAACAAACAATTAAAATGGAACACATGATATATATTTATGTAAATTTCACGTACTTTGCTTCTCTTGATGTTTCCCCGACTTTTGATTTCTAACACATAACATGCAATGTACAAGCAATTTAGAGCAAGCAATTTTTTCATCAACAAGCCCCAAAAATAGTGAGAGATGTGTCCCACTAAATTCTCCATTTCCTAAAGGATAAAGTAATAATTGCCTGAAAAAACAAGGGTGTGATTGCAGAAGTAGCATATATAACCACAAATAACAAATCAGAAAACCAAACAAAAACAATCTATAAAGTATAAACCATTTGAAGGAGGCCGTAGGAAATTCATAAGAACGATGAACTTCACTACCCAAGCTGTTGTAGTCCGATACTATCCAAGTAAAGGTCTTATCAGCTTCCACACACATGCTCAAACATTCTTCTGCAAGCTTAGAATCAAGCAAAAAAACCTCAACACCGAAAACACATTTGTCATTGACAAGATAACCATTGGCAGCATCATCAAACACAGCACGAGAAACCAATTTCGAGATACCCCATTCTGTTTTCAAACTATGGAAGTCAGGTAAGCTGCTCGCTCCTCCAACTAAAATATTCCCAAATAGAAATATTAATACAACGAATAACTCTAAAACCAAACCCACCAAACAAATCACAAACACATCAAATTAAATAACGTAACCTTGAAAGATAGTGTATCTTTGGCGCACTTGGTCATATATAAAAAACTTCAAATCAACGTGTTTCGCCCAACTATTGGACAATGCAGCTGTATCTTCAATACACACCGACACTGAGATGTGTCCTCTACTATTAGTCTTTTCATCACCATTAGGATAGACCAAGAAATTCCTAACACCATAAACTATCTCATTTTAGCAATGAACTGAAATTAAACAATTTAAAATTCAATTATAAAATATGATGAAAACCATTTATAGCCACTAGCATCAAAAGTTTTGGACTTGAAATAGTGTAGTCCGCTTTCCAACAGCATTTTAGTAAGTTTGGAGAATGAATCAATACGCAGCATGTAATGGGATGGGGCTATTTCTCTTTCCCATTTATTTATATCTGCAAAAACCAAAAATAAGAACAACAAGTAACTCCTGCATCACATAATTAAACATAAAAGACTGCTAATATATTTGAGTAAAATGAGCAAAAAAACCAGAAGAGGAATGTCGCCCTTTACTTAGGATGTTGTTTGCCATTATTGCTCTTCCAACTTCAGCCCCAAGAAGGCAAGAAACAAGAAACCACTGGCAAAACCCTATTATGCTATAGCCCTAGGGGGTTTATAAAGTGATAGGGTGACCATTGCTTTTATTGCGGCCACAAGAATTACCATTAAAATATTTTAGAATTAGATTAATTAATTATTATTTCTGAATTATTTTATATTTTTTTGTTGAGAATGAATTATTTTATATTTAGTTTGTTAGGATTATTTGTTTGATGGTTAGGATTAGTTGATATTATTGTTCTTAATAATTATCTTGGTTTGATTTGAACAGATTTTCGGCTTGATTTTGATTTGGTTTTGAAGAAATTTTGGTTTGATTTTGAACAAATTTTGAGAACCTGTTGGTCACGTCCCGGTAGTGACTAAAGAGAGTCTAGAGGGGGGTGAATAGACTCTACTCGATTTTTAGAAACAAACTCCGAAAGAGTAATGCACAGAGGAAAATATGTATGCTTTTTAATAACTTCTTTGCACCGCCTTTGGGGAGGTTAAAGCTTAACACTGATGCTCTCTTCTCTGCTTCTGGTGAGGCGGGAGGGGCATGTCTCAGAGGCTCAGAAGGACAGCTGATTGCGGGGTTGTGCTATCGTTTGGACGCCTCCTCAGCTCTTGAATCGGAAGCCTACTCCTTGCAGTTTGTCATGCGATGGTGTGTGATACGTTGGTGATGCGGCCTCGGGTTGTTGAAGTAGATTCCCTGGCTATTGTTCGCTTTGTGACATCTACGACGATGCTGCTGCCATGGAGAATTCGAGAAGCAGTGCTTTACATTCGAGATTGTCTCTCTGTGTGGGGTTCCTCGATAAATCATGCCTACAGGGAGGCCAATCATCAAGTTGTAGATGCCTTGGCGACAGAAGGCCTGAACTTTAGCTCCACTAGAATTTTTTCATCTTTAACTTTGCCTGTAAAAAACCAAATTGGCTCTGTCGTGTGACCTTAGGGGCTTTATGTTTCACCGGATTGTTAACAGATAATAAAATCGAACTTTTCTTTTAAAAAAAAATTCTTTGCACACTTTCGTTGTAGAAAATTATGATTTGATGAGTGTGGATGATAAGCAAGGCACTTAAGCAAATGTAAGTAATAAAAGAGAGAGGGAGAGAGAGATTTTTATAGTGGTTCGGCTTGTTAACTAATCCTACTCCACTTTTCTTTCACAACTTGTGAAAAGGTTTGCACTATCACTCCTAGTACAAACTAGCCAAGTTTGCTTGCTTGATCACTAAGCCGGACAGCAACTTGCTTAGGTTGCAACTCCTCGAGTTTACTCCGCCTCTATCAACTTCTTCTTCAGAGTTGAGGGTTGGAAAAGATTGATGAGTTTCCAACTTGAAATCTTAACTTAAACGCTCTTAATCTTCGTATAAACACGTTCCAAGATTTCCTAGTGATGTGAATACTTGATGAAGGATCATTTTTTCTAAGGATCTTCACAAAACCCAGGCTGGTTACAGGCTTATAGCTTTTCTAAGGATCTTCACAAAACCCAGGCTGGTTACAGACTTATAGCTTTTAGAAAATTTGAAAGCTTTTTAGATAACAAAGAGTGATAAAAGCAAACACCTTCTTCAAGTGAACAGATTTTCAACTTAATTTCCTTTTTTTTTTTTTTTTGCTATTTTATTTGCAAATTACTATATTAAAATTTATTTTAAAGAATTTTAATTTTATTAATTTTGGGTATATATAGTATTTAAAATTTGTTTTCAAATTTTTTATTTCGTTATTTAAATTTATTTTTATTTAAAAACGAAATTATAGTTATAAAGTTAAAATTATTAAATTATAGAAAAGTGAATAAAATAAAAAATGATGTGTAAGAGTTTGAATGCGTAGAGCCTACAAAAAAAGGGAGACGGGGAGAAGTATTGGAGAAAAAAAAATAGGAGATGAGATTATAAGGTAATGTGGATCAATCCTTATAAATGGAATATAGTTCACAATGCATATGTTGTGATTTTTTTTTTTTTTTTTTTTTTTGTCTTTGTGTTATTAAATGTCAATCATTATTGTGTGAATCATTGTGTAGACCATATTTTGTATACTGTAAAATAATGTGCATTTAGTACAAAAATAATGTACATTCAATATAAAAATAATGTACATTGTATTCAGGGGATGTACATTATTTTTGTACTGAGTGTACATTATATTGTATAATGTACATACAATACAATATAATGTACACTCAGCACAAAAATAATGTACATTTGGTATATTAAAAATGTACTTTTTGTTATGGTTCACTTAAACACAATAATTTGCCATTAAATGTTATGCCTATAAACACAAATATGTACATAAATTAAATTTAAAAAATAAGTAAATATATAACATGTGTTCATTCCGATTCAGGGTCCATAATGCTATTAGATAAATTTTGGAGATCAACCAACAGTAAAAACGCATACCAGCCCCAACTTGAATTAGAATATCCAAGAGAAAAGCACTTACAATCTACAAAATAAAACAAGATTGAACAAAACATTACAAAAGTAACTAACAATTAGAACAAAACATTGCCTCTGTCGATATTTTCATGAGAAAAATTGAGTATTTATCACGCTTCTAATAACATATAAAAAACTTTAAATCTGCATGTATCACGTATCCCAAAGACAATGCATCTGTTTCTTGAATACTCAAAAACACGTACAAAACGTGTCCTTTACCATCTCCATCACCATTGGATGCATAGAGAATGCCTTGTCACCGCAAAAAACCTCGCTTGAGCAATGAAAAACAAGATTATTACACCCACATATTTGATTGCTAATTTAATCAACATTTTCAACACTACCAAGTATAACCAAATAAGTGGAAAACTAAAACTTAAACATTTGTAACCACTAGCTTCAAATACTTTGGACTTGTAAATTTGGGTTTCACATTGTGACAGCATGTTGGTAAGATTAGAGCTGAGAATGATTCAATCCTCGGTATATAATGGGATGGTGTTGTATCTCTTACCTAGCGAGTTAATTACCAATTTGGTCCCTCGACTATGAGGATTTTATCAATCTGGTCGTCGACTTCTAAAATTCATCAATTTAGTCTTCGATTATTTTTTTATTTTTTTATCCGAAATAGTCCTAACCGTTAGACATCTGTTAACTCGGGACCAAATTGATAATTTCGGTATAGTTAAGGGACCATTTCGGTCATCACATGCACCATTTTCTCCCCGAAAGGAAGTAGTATACTTAAAGTATGGCTATGTTTGGCAAACCTAACTGAAAAGGTAGCTAAAAACTGAAAAGTAGTTGAAATCTGAAAAGTTATAAGCTAGAAGCTAAAAATTGAAGAGCTGCTAGCGAAGAGCTGTTATGCTTCAAAGTATTTGATAAAATTGGCTTTTTGATAAGCTAATAAATGTAAAAAGACTAAAAAAGACATTTTTCATAAAATTTAAATTAGTTTATTTATATATTAAAATTTAACATTTTGTCTTTAAAAAATAAATTAATATTTCGAAATAAAACTATTAGCATAATCATGATCAAGCATCCCATAATGATGTAGCAATATTGTTGCAAATCAATCTTATTCATCATATATATTAGATTATCACTCTTATAATAATAATAATATAATAATAATAAAAAAGTAACAACCACAGCACGTACAAAGACAAACAACAAACTAGAAAACTTAACAAAAACAAATTAATAATCATTTGAATGATGGATGTGCAACAAATCTCTTTTTTAAATTGCAATACATTGAGCAAGTAGTGTTTACAGTTTCTTGTCAGATTAAATTCATATAAAACTTGATTAACTAATATAATACAATGACAATAGTGGTATTACATTTTTATTTTATTGTTCTAGGAGAGTAAAGAGTGAAATAAAACATAATGATTCATTTAAAAGATCGACTAACAATTCGTGCATTGCATCATCATAAAAAGTGAAGTAAAACATGGAATAACAATTTAATAAGTGAAGTAAAACAAGGAGCAATACAAACACAACGCTAAACTTAATAGCAAAACCATGCCAAAAGTTCCAATGTGATAGCAGTTTCAACCAGAACAAAAAGTGTACCCTAACCATGAAATTAGAAACCCAATGTTCTCTTAACCAACACGCATAATAAGTTACAAATAGTTTAGCTATTGAATCATGGATACGTTCTTGATACAAGCTTCAATGATAATGCAATCATTAACAATGAAACCATTAGATAAATCTCGTAATTCATCCAGCCGTATAAACATAGTCCAACCCCAATCGGTTGAAGGATCGTCTGAAGCACCATCGTTTGAAGCACCAGGAGCTAAGTAATGAGAAGCTACAAAATAAAATAAAACATTAAAAAGTAAACGAAGAATTAAAATAACACAAATGATATATATATATATATATATATATATATATATATATATATATGTATATGCATGTAAGCTTCACGTACATTGCATCTCGTGATGTTTTCCAGTCTTTTGATTTCTAACACGTAACGTGAAATGTACAAGCAATTTAGCGCAAGCAATTTTTTCATCAACAAGCTCCAAATATAACGAGAGATATCGGCTACCAGAATTTTTTATATTTCCTAAAGGATAAAGTAATAATCGCCTGAAAAAACAATGTTGAGAATTCAAAAATATTAACAAATGTGATTGCAAAAGTAGCATAACCACAAATAACAAATCATAAAACCAAACAAAAACAAGGTATAAACCATTTGAAGGATGCCGCAGGAAATTCATAAGAATATAGAACGTTATCACCCAATTTGCTGTAGTCAGATACTTTCCAAGTAAAAGTCTTATCTACTTCCAGAGACAGGCTCGTACATTCTTCAGCAAGCTTAGAATCAAGCAAGAAAATCTCAACACCAAAAACACATTTGTCATTGACAAGATATCCATTGGCAGCATCGTCAAACACAGCACGAGAAACCAATTTGGTGATACCCCATTCTGTTTTCAGACTATGGAAGTCATGTAAGCTGCTGGCTCCTCCAACTAAAATATTCCAAAATAGAAATATTAATACAATGGATCACTCTAAAACCAAACAAATCACAAACCCATCAATTTAAATTACCTTGAAAGACAGAGTATTTTTGGCGCACTTGATCATATATAAAAAACTTCAAATCAGCGTATTTCGCCCAACTCTTGGGCAGTGCAGCTGTATCTTCAATACACACCGACACTGAGATGTGTCCTCTACTATTACTCTTTTTATCACCATTAGGATAGACCAAGAAATTCCTGACACCATAAAGCATCATATATATTTTAGCAATGAACTGAAATTAAACAATATAAAATTCAATAACAAAATATATATGATGAAAACCAAACAATTAAAACCATTTATAGCCACTAGCATCAAAAGTTTTGGACTTGAAATAGTGTAGTCCGCCTTCCAACAGCATTTTAGTAAGTTTGGAGAATGAATCAATACGCAGCATGTAATGGGATGGGGCTATTTCTCTTTCCCATTTATTTATATCTGCAAAAACCAAAACCACGTAAGAACATGCATATATGCAACTCACGCATTGCATAAACATGAAACAAACGTAAAAGACTGCTAATATTTTAGAGTAAAATGAGCAAAAACTAGAAGAGTAATGCCATTCACTTGATATGTTGTTTTTCATCATATCATTGCTCTTCCAAGAAACAAGAAACCACTGTCAAAACCCAAATATGCTATAGCCCTAGGCGGTGTATAAACTGAATAGCTTAGGGTGATTGGAATTAGCTAGAGTTCTGATTCATTGGTAATATACATATACATAAAAGACTGGTAATATATTTGAGTAAAATTAGCAAAAAACAAGTAGAGGAATGTCGCCGTTTACGTGGGATGTTGTTTGCCATTATTGCTCTTCCAACTTCGGTCCCAAGAAACATTAAACCACCGCCAAAACCCTATTATGCAATAGCCCTAGGGGGTTTATAAAGTGAATAGGGTGACCATTGCTTTTATTTGGGCCACTAAAATATTTTTGAATTAGATTAATTAATTAATTTTTATTTCTGAATTATTTTATATTTTTTGTTGAGAATGAATTGTTTTATATTTACTTTGTTAGGATTATTTGTTTGTTGGTTACGATTAATTTATCTTATTCTTAATAACAATTATCTTGTTTTAATTGATTTCAACAGATTTTCGGCCTGATTTTTATTTGGTTTTGAAGAAATTTTGTTAACCCAAATTTTGAACTGATTTTGATTTGATTTTGAACAAATTTTGTTAACCCAAGCTCTGAGCTTGATTTTGATTTGATTTAGATTAGGATTTTTTATTTTTTTTGTTGGGTACATTAGAAGCCCTCAACCGAGAACACTATCTAACTTTGATCTTAAACTGGGAGTATTTTAGATTAGGATTCTAGTAATTGATTAATCACACGGTTCATAATATAGAGAGAGATGTATATACATAAGGAAGTAGTCGTATACTTAAAAGAACAAGAGTCCTACCATTAACAAATTTTGGTTTGATTTTGAACAGATTTTCGGCATGATTTTAATTTGATTTTGAACAAATTTTGAACAGATTTTCGACTTGATTTCTTTTTTCTTTTTTTTTTGTTATTTTATTTTGTAAATTAATATATTAAAGTTTTTTAAAAAAATAATAATTTAATTAATTGTTGATATATATATTATTTAAAATTTGTTTTGGAATTTTTTATTTCCTCATTTAAATTTATTTTTATTTAAAATTGAAAGTACAGTTATAAAGTTAAAATTATTTGTGAATAAAATAATAAATAATGGGTAAGAGTTTGAATGAGTAGAGCTTACAAAAAAAAATAAAAAAAAAAATTAAAAAAGATGGGGAGAAGGATTGGAGAAAAAAAAAAGGAAATGAGATTATAAGATGATGTGGATCAATCCTTATACATAGAATAGGGTTTACGGGTGCATATGAACACAAATTATGTACATAAATCAAATTTGAAAAATAAGGAAATATATACATGTGTTCATTTAAATTCAGGATCCATAACGCTATAAGTTAAATCTTGAAGATCAACCAGCCATAAAAACGCATACCAGCCTCATATTGAATATCCAGGAGATCGAAAATCACTTACAATCTACAAAATAAAACAAGATTGAACAAAACATTAAAAAAAAAAAAAAAAAAAACCAACAATTAGAACAAAACATTGCCTTTGTCGATATTTTCAAGAGGAAAACTGAAAATTTATCACGCTTCTAATAACATACAAAAAACTTTAAAATCTACATGTATCACTCAACCCAAAGGCGATGATATCTGTTTATTGAATACTCAAAAACTCGTACAAAACGTGTCCTCCATTGGATGCATAGAGAATGCCTTGTCACCCCAAAACAACCCACTTTTAACAGATCCTAATAGTAGAAGACACTTTTGAAGAAAACAACTCACTTGAGCAATGCATTGGTATTACATTTTTTTTTATTGTTCCGTGAGTAAGGAGTGAAATAAAACAGAATGATTCATTTAAAAAATAATTACAACCATTTATTCATTGCATCATCATAAAAAGTGACGTAAAACATAGAATACCAATTTAATAGAAATAAACAAGATTCTCAACAAGGAGCAACAATAACGTAAAGCTACATTTAATAGCAAAATCATTCCAAAAAGTTACAATGTGATACCAGTTTCAACCAAATCAGAAAAAACACCCAACCCATAAAATTAGCAACGGAGTACATCGACACAATGTTCACTTTATCAGCACTATAATAAGTTACAAGTAGTTTATCTACTGAATGATGGATACATTCTTGATACAAGCATGAATGATAATGCTACCATCTACAATGAAACCTTTAGATAAATCTCGAACTTCATCCAGCGGTAAAAACGCCGGCCAACCCTTTGAATAACCAGGTGAAAAAGAACCACAAGCTACAAAATACAACAATAAAACATTGTTTACAACAACAAAACATTGAAAAGTTAACAAACAATTAAAATGAAACATACAATAATATATATATATATATATATATATATATATATATATATATATATATACTTCACATACTTTGCTTAGCTTGATGTTGTCCCGACTTTTGATTTCTAACACATAACATGTAATGTACAAGCAATTTAGAGCAAGCAATTTTTTCATCGACTAGTGCCAAAAATAGTGAGAGATGTTCTCCACAAGATTTTCCATTACCTAAAGGATAAAGTGATAACCGCCTGAAAAACAATGTTAAGAATTCATAATAATTAATAAATATGATGATTGCAAAAGTAGGATAAAAACAAATTAGAAAACCAAACAAAAAGAATCTATAAACCATTTGAAGGAGGCCACAGGAAATTCATAAGAATAATGAACTTCACTTCCCAAGTTGTTGTAGTCCGTTACAATCCAAGTAAAAGTCTTATCAACTTCCACACACAGACTCAAACATTCTTCGGCAAAATTAGAATCAAGCAAAAAAACCTCAACACCAAAAACACATTTGTCATTGACAAGATATCCATTGGCAGCATCATCAAATACATAACGAGAAACCAATTTGGTGATACCCCATTCTGTTTTCAGGCTATGAAAGTCATGTAAGCTGCTCGCTCCTCCAACTAAAATATTACCAAATAGAAACATTAATAAAATGGATCACTCTAAAACCAAACCCACCAAACAAATCACAAACACCAACACTGACCTTGAAAGACGGAGTATTTTTGGCGCACTTGATCATGTATAAAAAACTTCAAATCAGCATATTTCGCCCAACTCTTGGGCAATGCAGCTGTATCTTCAATACACACCGACACTGAGATGTGTCCTGTACTATTACTCTTTTCATCCCCATTAGGATAGACCAAGAAATTCCTAAGAACATCATAAATCATCTCATTTTAGCAATGAACTGAAATTAAACAATATAAAATTCAATAACAAAGTATGATGAAAACCAAACAAAACCATTTTAAGCCACTAGCATCAAAAGTTTTGGACTTGAAATACTGTAGTCTGCCTTCCAACAGCATTTTAGTAAGTTTGGAGAATGAATCAATACGCAGCATGTAATGGGATGGTGCTATTTCTCTTTCCCATTTATTTACATCTGCAAAAACCAAAAGTACGTAAGAACATGCATATACATAAACATGAAAGAAACGTAAAAGACTGGTCATATTTTAGAGTAAAATGAGAAAAAACCAAAAGACCTTCACTAGATGATGATATGTTGTTTCCCGTCATTGCTGTTCCAACTTCTGTCCGACGAACCACTGAGAAATCTTTGTAATGGTAGGGGTTTATAAAGTGAATAGGGTGACCTTTGATTTCCCAAGATTGGCTTATAGAGACGTGTGCATAATAATACCAGATAAACCTTTTGTAGCGTACCCATGGCAAAGGAGACCTTTTGGTTTTCCTATAACACGTATCCACTATGGACTATAAATACAGCTTTGTATTCGAAACACAAAATTTTATACCATTGTGTCTTGAATACGCAAGAACACAGAGATATGTCCCTTATCTCCCAATTTTGTAGATCCAACTCTTTCTTATCTTATCTCCCAATTTTGTAGATCCAATTCTTTCTAATCACTCTATAATCTTCTCTCCTCCTTTCTCAGACATCCTTCTTCCCTTTTCTTCCTATTTTGTGGGTCTATTCCTTCCTACTCCTACACATCATTTAATAAGGTTCAAATTGACCACCGAACCTAACCTCAAAATACAATTAGGCCACCGAAAGAAATTAAAAAAGTGCAATGATACCACTGTACACTCCAAAAACTTGTAATTAGGTCACTGAACACTCTAAATGTATGCAATTTCACCGCATAGCAGGTTAACAACAATTTTAGAAGGTTACATGCTTATGTGGCAGATAAGTTGACATTTTTAATAATTTTTAAACAATTTTTAATAAATTTTAATAATTAATTTTAATATAAATTTAAAAAAATTGAAAAAAATAAAACGACGGGTGGTCGACGGTCGTTTTTTTTTTTTTAATTATTATTAAAAATTATTGATGTTAGATCTTTACTTTCATAGATGTTAGATCTTTACTTTCACCTTTATGACCATGCGAGCTTTATTTCAGTATTCATCATGTAAGGAGTAGTGGCTCATAAAATAATTTTGTGAAACAAGTTTTATACCTATTAAATTGTTATGTATTTATTATTTTGTTAATTAGCTGCCCAACTAGCTAGCATATATAGTAATAAATAAATACTACCTGAAAGCATTTTAAAATTATAAAATTTTATTTGTTTTAAAATAACAAAAAATTACACTTACTACTTAATAGTTCCAATTTATAAATTATTCTTATTAATATTATTAAGTTATTGATTATTGAGTTACTCATTTTCTTATAATAATTAAGTAAAAAATAGTTGTAAAATGTGTAAAGTTATAAAAATAATGTAAAAATAAAACATAATTTAAATCAATTGATATATAATTTTTACTATTTTTCTACTTTTAAATTTAATTAGACTGGGCTGACTCAAATAAAAACTAAATTGGCCAATGGTGGGCCGAACCTGTCTAAATCCAATCATATTGTGTGGATGGCCCACCATGGGCCATATTTAGTTCAAAAATAATGTATTTTTAATATATTAAAAATATATTTTTTATTTAGAGAAAGTACATTATTTGAATACTAAAAATATATTATTTTATATAGAAAATAGTAAAAAAATCCCTCTATAATATGCTAATTATCAATGTCACCTTTAAATTATAAGTGATGTAAATGTTGTCCCTTAATTATTAAAATGGTGCACATACTACATTGTAATAGAGCCGGTAGCATTCAAAAAAAAAAAAAAAAAAAAAAAACTCATGGGAATAACTTTATAGAAAAATAAATTAACACTATTACCCTAGAAATATAAGAATATAATTAAATTATTTAAAAACAAGTCAAACAACACTAATTGTGGTTAATTATGGTTAGTTGTAATTTGTTATTCCCTACAAGTTGCAATTGTGCACAAGTTCCCATAAAATTTGTTATTCAATTTGAAATGCACATTATCCTTTTATCTCTATCCCAAAACACAACAAGTAGCTATGAACCGATACTACATTGTAATAGAGTCGGTAGCATTCAAAAAAAAAAAAAAAAAAAAAAAAAAAAAAAACCTCATGGGAATAACTTTATAGAAAAATAAATTAACACTATTACCCTAGAAATATAAGAATGTAATTAAATTATTTAGAAATAAGTCAAACAACACTAATTGTGGTTAATTATGGTTAGTTGTAATTTGTTATTCCCTACAAGTTGCAATTGTGCACAAGTTCCCATAAAATTTGTTATTCAATTTGAAATGCACATTATCCTTTTATCTCTATCCCAAAACACAAAAATCTACATCAAATTTCACATCAATGCCGTGTTGATGAATTTTGCTACCGAACAAACTGTTGTGGCATGGAGTACGTCCTATATCAAATATCAATTTAGTAGGCCTTCTGTGATCAGCTGAGAAGATTTTCTTTCATGATACTTCCATCTAAAACAGAGCAATCAAGATGGTTTGAAGATAAGAAGAATATATCAAAAATCAAGATGGTTTGAAGTAATCACAAGAACAATTGGCACAGAATGGGCTTCTCACATGATGCTTTCTTTGGAGTATATATTGAAGTTGAAATAATGTAATACAGAAATATATTGAAAATATACCGAAATCAGTTAGAGTATTAGTAAGAGTACTTATTTTTTCAGTTTTAAATGGTTTCGGGCTCAATGGTAGGAAAGGCTTTAACTGGGCAACGACAACAATATGAAAGAAATGGTTTCGGGCTCAATGTGAGTAGACACATCTGCGGATGACTTCATAAACGTTACTCTCTTCAGTAATAAATGTTTTTCCTTCATCTCATGCTTCTCTTACCATATCTTCTTACATAATTGGCATGTGGATTTTTTGACAATGCGTGTAAATGTCTTCTATACATATTTGTTTGTATGTCTACAAAAAAGTGTCGAGTAATAGTGTTCAGTCTATATTTTGTTTAAATTTATAGAGGTTTATCCATTTGGTGGTAGCTTAACATTAATGTATATGGAGCTGGTATTTGTGGAAATCTGGTTTTCTGATGAGTGGAACTTCTTACTATTCCTTGTCAGTTACTTGTATAAATTGACAATTGCTAATCCTTGTCCTCGTCATCCCAAAAAGGTGCTAAAATAACCTAAACAATACCTTTTTCAGTTTATCCAAATACTTTAATTACTACGGAGTAAATGAGAAGTAAAATAGTCCCCACTCTAAGAAATTAAAGCATTATTGGAAAAAAAGAAGATAATGGAAACTTTTTATAGACCTCTTCTATTTTGGTAATTGGCAATTCATCAATCGCCAAAAAAAAAAAAAAAAAAAAGAAGTTATGGGGATATTAAATTATAATAAAAGACATAAAGTAAGTTGTAATTAATAATGGCAAAATAAGGAAATCAAACACTACTATGTGTTACCAATTAGCACATAGATCCTAGTTATTTGCAATGTACATCAGGCCATTGCCTCAAATTGTACTACTTGCCTACCAAAAAATGCATATTGTTTTACATCGTGAAATATTTTAGCAATTTGTTATTATCTACAAACAGCAGCGGGAAGCATTTTGAGATTCGTAGCATTGCAGCTTGCAGATGAAATTTTTTTGCCATTCAACTATCTTATGCATATGAACTAGAGGTATGTGGAATATGATGAAGTTGCCATGAAATTATGTATTAATTAGTGTGCTAGCCTGGTTAAGTTTACCTTTATGTTATGTCAATGTACAAGGTATTGATATCCATCCTCATAGCACTACCGCTTGCATCCCTTTCCTTTTCCTGCCAATTGCCATCTCTACCCAAATCCTACTACCACTCTCTATTGTAGAGAATGTGGGTGCAATTTGGAGTATTGATATGAGAGAGAATTTTGTCATGATCGCCTGTGTTGACTCAAATCCAGTATTTGAAGTTCAAGATTTGAGGTAGCTTATAAGTATGGTTTAATTTCAAATCATAAAATGTGACTTGTGTATCCTAATAGCCGGACTCATCTCTATGCCTTACATTGAACAAGATAGACACACACAGATTTAACATTAAACCTTCTTTTTTGCTCCTTCTTCTTGGCCCGGCCCATTAAAGACTAATCCCTTGCATATTCAGAATTCAAAAATGTCACATGTCCCTCTAAATATTCTTATTCTTCTATCTTTAACATCCATACCTTTTAAAATCCCTACTCCTTGCCGACTCACCCTCCCATGCACAACAGACAAACAGAACTCTCACCTTCTCAGTTTTCACCAGACACTCACTGTCATGTTGCAACCAAACGACAAGGTTTCTATTTTGGTTTATTGTTCTATGTTCTATCATTGCATTGTAAAGTATGTATGTAACATTTACATTCTATTCATTTTTATTTTTTCTCTCAGTCCACCAACTAACCCATGTCTCCCTCGGCACTCCAGCGATATCCTCCCGTGAATGAGAGTTCTCTTTGTCTGTTTATCACCCTATCCTTTCCATTTTAAAGTAAGTAATTGAATTTTCAATTTTTGAATTGCTTTTGCAATTTCTTTAAAACAGATTTGGAAGATCAATAGTGTCTCGTGAACATGCATATGCATCTTCTGGTTTTTGCTCCTTTTATTATGTTATGTTTATTGGTGATTTCTTTTGTGTGCACATATATCATGTTGGATTGAACCATTCCCCTTAAACGAAAGCTCTGAACGCCACCAAAGTGGAGGGAACAAGCAGACTTACGAAAGCTTGGACGCCACCCATGCCCATAACCGGGTGAACCCAAAGTGGATCGAACATGCTCTGATACCATCTAATACCATACTCTGATATCATCAATATACCATGTTTATTGATGATTTCTTTTGTGTGCATATATATATCATGTTGAAGATGCATCTTCTGGTTTTTTTTTTTTTTTTGCTCCTTTTACTATGTTCTGTTTATTGATGATTTCTTTTGTGTGCATATATCATGTTGAAGTTACTTATCATGTAGGTACTTGGGTTAGAGATGTGGGCACATCACATTACCTAGTGAGGATTTAATCTTTTTCTAGTCTTACTAAAACGATTTCTGGTTGTGGCAACCAGTTATACCAGTCATCAATTTTTGAGGTCAACAACTATAAATAGTTGGTTGAGTTTACGTTATTTATTTGTTTTGCTACTCAGTACTGTAGTTTTTCAATCATACTAGCACTGAAATTTTTAATATAAGTAATATTGTTCAAATAGGTCATTATTGATATATCTCAATGGGGATGCTGATTATAGCAGGGGATACATCTCTAAATTCTTGCGGATTGAAAATCAAGTTGCACTTTCTGTTGGTTGGATGATACAGGTAGATGTAAAATTCTTTATATTGATC